GAACTTCGGAACTAAACCGAACCTTCACGGGAACCGAACCGAACTCCGAACTTCGCGGGCACCGAACCGAACCGTCCTTCTCGGACACGACATCAATTTTGGGTTTCGTTTTTGACATATCCAACTTGTTCCCACGAATGGAACCGAACCACACGCAACCGAACCGAACCGAACCGAACTGCGTGAACGGAACCGAACATACAACGGGGTGCGGAAGAACCGAACCGAACCGGAACCCTTGAACGGAACCGATGATACTCCAACCGAACCGAACCGCAGCACAGAACACGAACCGAACCGAACTTTTAATGAACCGAAGCGTGCACCGCACAACGAACTATGAATCGCCAGAACCGAAGCGAACACAAGAGGATTTTTAACCGAACCGAACTCGAACGCGAACCAGGCGATTAAGCCGAACCGAACCCGAACCCTCGACTCCGGTGCGAAACATGACCACACCTTCGCGAGGGATTACGGAACCGAACGGAACACGAACCAGAACCGGCTGCGCAACGAAGCACTCACCGGGCCCGAACCGACCACTCCCGAACCGACGAGAAGTCGCGGAACAAAACCGAACCGAACCGGAACGAAAACACGACAAACCGAACCGAACTTGGGCTCGAACCGCTCACCAACCGAACCGAATAAGCCGTCGGTAAGTGAACTAAATAGCGAGAAGTCGAACCGAACCGCCGTTGCCGGATGAACACCAGAACCCAGCCATTGTCAGCCACCGTTCCGAACCGGACGAATCCGCACCAGGACAACCGAACCGAACAATGAGCCGGGCCGAACTCGAACCGGAGGAACCGACCCAGCACCCCACCGAACCGAACCTAACCGAACCGAACCTAACCGAACCGAACCGAACCGAACCGAACCGAACCGAACCGAACCGAACCGAACCGAACCGAACCGAACCGAACCGAACCGAACCGAACCGAACCGAACCGAACCGAACCGAACCGAACCGAACCGAACCGAACCGAACCGAACCGAACCGAACCGAACCGAACCGAACCGAACCGAACCGAACCGAACCGAACCGAACCGAACCGAACCGAACCGAACCGAACCGAACCGAACCGAACCGACCGAACCGAACCGAACCGAACCGAACCGAACCGAACCGAACCGAACCGAACCGAACCGAACCGAACCGAACCGAACCGAACCGAACCGAACCGAACCGAACCGAACCGAACCGAACCGAACCGAACCGAACCGAACCGAACCGAACCCCTTATTTACCGTTTAAGTCAACTATATTGGTTCTCCGGTGGCAATATTAGCGACTTGTAGATTTCACGCACCGCCATCTTGTGTGCAATAGCAGTACGTGCATTTGACACACTCTATTCTTGTGGAGCTCACGTGCTGCCATCTCCTGTGTAATTGTGTGAAAACTGCGTGCGCTGCTCCGCCGGCTTTACATACGGGTACATGGTATTATCGGCCGGTAGCTAGCTGGGAGCCATTTGTCTGTCTTTCCTGACTTTAGGGAGGATTTGCCGGGGCCATTATTGTACCCCGTTTGTGAATTGATACTGTTGACACAGGAATTGGTGCCAACGGTAGGAAAGTGCGTTGGGGCGCCTCGGTGCGCGCGAAACGTTGCGCGCGCTTCGGGGCCGTTTAAGGCGGCGCCGGGGCGCAACGATTGAGCCCGGGAGCGTCCACTGGCAGTGGGGTTGCAGCACGGCGGGGTTGAATGCCCCTGCGGCGGGCCTCTCTCTTATAAACGGCACACCGTCTGTCGTTTATAAGAGTTGCAGCTTGGCGCAATTTGCGCAGGTAGGCCTTTGGTCGCGCGGCCGTGTATAGTCGACGGCCGCATGTTCGCCGGCACAGCGGACACATTTAATCCTCAGCCGGTGACAGTTGGCCGATGGGCCGAACGAAAGCCTTGTCCGTAAAGGCGGGCATTAAGCGGCTCACCTAAGACGTAGGTGAGCACGGAAAAGTGCTGTGTCCAGTTGGGCAGACACTCCACTACCATAGGCGGGTATTTTCCCCGCCCTGGCTCAGTTGTTGTTGCTGTGCCCGACGTGGGCACAGTGTTATCCTCTGTATGGGTTGGAGGGTAGGGGGGGCGTGGCACGGGAGCGGCCGCAGACGCGTCGCTGTACGCACTTGGATATCGACGCTCTCGATGCCCACGTACGACGTTACGTCATCGTTGTCAGGATGACCTAAGACGCCCAAGGCGTCAAAGTCCATGACTCGCTCGTCCTCGCTATCGGACGGGGAGGGCGCGCCGTAGTTGTAGTTGCGCCTTGACACTCGTATCATCCGTAAGCGACGGGTGTACGGTGAAACGAGGTGTGGGAGCGAGACGGGGCGACGGTGGAGAGTCGCAGACAGTCTAGCCGCTTCACAGACTGCTCGTCTGAGACAGCGGGCGATGGAGGAGTGCGTCGCTTGGCGGCCACAGACAAGGTGGCGCCTGTACTACAAGGTGGCGCCTGTACTACTACCGCTCGGCGCGGCGCGTTCGCCTTCCGCAGCAGCGATGTTGCGGTTAGCGAGCGCAATCCGCGCCTCATGGCGACTGTAGAACGGTCCCAACTCTGTCTCTGGGACCGGTCGGCTTCTTGTCGGGTCCGCGAGGTCCCGACAAACAACCTGCCTCGGCACAGCTTGCCTAAGCGGCAGGGGCGCCGGCGCACTAGGCGCGGACGCTGACGTAGATGGAGTCGGCCGCTTAGCCGGCTCGCTAGGCTTGCGGGGGGGTTTACCCCCGCGTTGCGACATTGTCCCTAACGGTCCATACTTAGTAGCCCACGAAGGCCGAAAGGAATGCCGGACCGACACAGCCCAAGTGGAGACTCAAGCTGTGCCCTCAGTCTCGCCGTGGGTGCACTTGTTCTCCCCGTGAGACGACACCCTACGGTTTAAAAGAACGAGGTGTGGGGGTTGAAACTCCACAAACGAACCCTACTGTTGAAGGGGGGGAATGGGAGAGCAACACGGCCTGGGAAGACCACGCTTTCGACCGCTGCCGTGAGTGCACTTTGCCTCTCCGTGTGGCGACACTCTCCGGAGCTCCGGATTCCGGAGTCGGAGCTAGCGCGAAGACCGCGCTGACCGGCTCTAGCGGCGCCAACGGTTAACAAAAGAACTACGTTCACTGAAGTCACCGACAAATGTTCACCCCAACCACCCTGCACTTTTTTTATAAAACTTAGAATGGCAAACAAGCTGACGGCCCACCTGATGGAAAGTGGTAACCGTCGCCTATAGACATGAGCAGTACCATAGACATAACAGAGTATACTGTTTCGTCCATGATACCCCCATGCGTTGCCATTCCTGAGGACTCAGGTGTTATTCCTCTGTACCCAGTAAATTCACGCCATATCCCACCCTTCAAACCGAAACACAGCCATGCAAACACAACTGCTTCACGGTTGAAACACGAATGGGACAGAGGTACCCAAGCAATCGACTTTTGTACAAAGTCTCCCTCTGGTAAAAAAAAAAAAAAAAAAAAAAAAAAAAAAAAAAAAAATGCACATAGTAATGTGCAGCGAGCGACACTAGCAGAGGGGGGCCCGAGCCCCAGACTACTCTCTCCCACGGCGGCTACGTGTTTTTTATGTGTTAATTAAATAAATAGCCGGGAAAATGTATAGTAAATAGAAAATATATAGTAAATAGTACTTAATAGTATTAGTTTATAGCGTAAGGATAGAATAGGTTAAGAAAAATAAAGATTTTTCTTACTGTCTTTTACTCCCTCAAAAAATAGCTATAATAGCGAAAGTCGAGTAGGTAGGACATGTAAACTTGTAAAAGAACTACGGCTGTACTAATAGGACGTAGGCTAGTATAGCCAATAGGTCCCAAATTGGGGCAAATTCCTGTAAAAGTCAGTAAAATAGTTAACAGTTGTAATAGGCCATAATAGGGCCTATAATATGCTCGTATGAAACTCTCGTACCAAATGAGCATGAATAGTTAAAATAGATGGTAATAGCATAGTTTTTCCTAAAAATGGAAATATATATATATATAGCGAGCGGCGATAGTTGGCTATAAAAATAGGACCCATTCGGGCTACCAAGCATAGCAATTGACCTCCATAGAGAGCGAAACAGAAAAGCTAAAACAGCAAGAAGCCACTGCGAAAAATAGTTTCCTCGCTTCATCGCCATTTCAAGATCCATCTTTGCATTTTATTTCATCATCCAGTCCATCAAGTCACCTCATCGCTTACTGACTTCATACTCACTTCGTGTCCATCGTGGTCATCATCGTGTTCGTCGTCGTCCTTTTGAGGACGACATATAGTGGTGCTTCCTAGCACCTGGTCCTTGATGTGCAACGCACCTGCGGCGAAGACTAAGGCCCTTTGGGGAGAGAGTGCTTTGTGCGCCCTCTGTGTGCAAAGTACTCTCTTTTCTCTAGTAGGACAAGTCTACGTCCGGGCGTACCAGCGCCTCGGTGCCAGTCGACGCGCCTTCCGACTCTCGGGGGCAGCGGCCCGAACACATTTTTTGTAAAAACTCATAGTTTTTAAGTTATTTATGAAAAACCGCTTTTTTAAAACGAATTGTTATCAAGAAAAATCATAATCTTTTATCTTTAATAACTCAAAAAGTGTTGATTTATTTCAAAAACTTTACATAACAAATTTTGCTTAGTATTTGTTTCTCTATCGATTCCTGAGGTTATTTTTATTAAAATAATTTTCACCCCCGAGAAGGGGTAGCATCCAACCACAGGACAAAAGCGCAAGTTGTCACTATGTCACTTTTGTTTCTTAAGGTATCCCTCGTTTATTCACCAATTTTCATGAAAATCGATGAAGATTCAACGAAATCGAAGGTGAGAACCTTTATTGACTGTAGTACTTATATATTAATATAAATTGGTAACTATATTTAGTAGTTCACTTTAATAAGTACCTCCAGTATTTCTTGGCGGAATGGTAAATTTTGGGTTCGATAGTGGATGGGATTCTAAATTTTGAAGAAATAATAATAAAAACACATTGTTAAAAAAAGTTTATTACTATTATAAGTACATATTTTTATTCAAATAAAAAAAAATATTATTAGGATTTCATTCTTTTTAAGAATTTATTTGTATTAACAATTATTTTTGTACAGTTAAAAGGGTTACAGTTTTGTTGTTAGAAGATTGTATATAACGAAGTTCATCAATAATTGCTTTTTCTGCATTCACTTGGCTGTAGATCTCGGGCCATGATCGTGACGCGGCGTGTGGTGTGTGGCGCATGGCGCGTGGCGTACGGCGCACGGCGCACGGCGCACGGCGCATGCTCACGAACGCAGGTAATGACGCGGAGTGTACACGCGCGTCAGGTCGCGCTCACTCATAGTCGGCACTCGCGGCTTCAATTCCGGAATTATAGCGCTGCCCAGTATAGACAGCCCGTTATTCGTTCTGTACATGTTAAAATTGAAACATATTAATTCATTAATTCCTGTCCTTACTATATAAATGTGTAATATTAGTTTTTTTTTTTTTTTTTGACAAGTCAGACTGATTTATCAATCTATTGTTTCTCGGATTGACTAAACATGACTTTATCAGATGCACGTCTTAGTATAATACATGGTGCCGATTAATGGTGCTGGAGATAGTCATACTTGCTACTGGTCAACAGGTCACTCTTAGTGCCTACAGTTTGTAATTACAAACAGTAAGTACAAAATATGGTAACATGACTTACACGGTGGAGGTAATCTTCTCAGCAGTAAAACAGTTGGAAACAGTTGCTGGCCATAAATATATATTTATGGCCAGCAGTTTCCATATTTTTTTTTATTACGAGGAAAAAAATAAATGACAATTTGCTATTCTATATTATAAAAGGTTTTTTTTTTAATGTTTGATAATGGTATAGTAACCCCGCCTGCGCTATTGGTATACACTAGCGGTGCACCAGAGACAGATGACTGTTGGAGGATGAAAGCAGGATAGTTAGCCCATCCTGAAGAATTCAGTTACAATTAACTACGACATTTAACACGTATAAGTACTACAGGGTATATTACTAGTAATGGGGCTATTTGATCCCATTACTAACAATCGTCCCCTCCCCCCCCCCCTTTATAAAAGGTCTAAATCCTATTGGGTTCATGAGTAGTTCCTCTATTAAGGCGAACGTGAGACAGGAGGACGTTACTAACTTGAGCAAGGTGGGAGTGTCGTCGGGCAGCCAGCAGTGCAGGGAGTATCCCCGACGCGTCTGAAACAACCGCCTTCTGGATGTAAATATACCTAATATTATATACAGCAAATAGTTATCTATTCCATCACTTAATATAATTCATATGATTTTTTTATACGAGTATAAAAAAAAAAAATATGCCAGCTACTGTAATCCATTATAGTAAGATATTCCAGGTAGGGTAACCAAATTTTTTGCTTATGAAATGAATGTAAAATAATGAATGAAAGAAAATGGTGACCATTGGCTTTATATTTTATTATAAATATAATAACTTAAAACTTGTTTCCTTTCTCCCAATTTTTTCTTTAATACTCGTAGATATAGATACTGACTTTTGCTCGCTACTTTATAAACGTGGATTTTGGAAGTAGGTAACCACTTATAGATGGTGTATTGGCTTCTATTGCCCTTTCATTATCATTTTTTCTTAAATATCTCCCATGCACAGATCAAGACACAGACAGCGTCAAGTTACAATTTTATTCATCATTCATTTCAGCCATTATCCGTCCACTACTGGACATAAGCCTCCCCCATAGACTGCCATAAAGAATAGTCCTGAGCCACCTATATCCACGTTTCCTTAAAATGCACTCGTCACTCCATCTAGTGGGGGATTGTCCTACACTGCGTTTAATTGCGTACGGGGCCGCCACTCAAGGACCTTTCTTTCCCATCGGTTGCTGGTTCTTTGAGTTACGTGACCAGCCCGTTGCTACTTCAGCTTGCTTATCCTTCGGGCTATGTCGGTTATTTTGGATCTTTCGCGGATATCCTCGTTTCGGATTCTATCACGCAAAGAGACTCCCAGCATAGCCCTTTCCATAGCCTACTGAGCAACTTATTTATATTTTGTATTGCGGGATGTATTGACATCGTTTTAAAACCTGTATAATGCAGCATCGACAATTTACCTTCACCGAACTTTTCGTTTTGCTGCGTGATGCGCGGTATGTCTCGAGATCTGGTAGAGGCTCGTTAGATTTCTTCTCACTCTTTGTTGCAAGAATTGAAGAACCTGAACAGGTAAGAAAAATTAATAGTAATAATTTTATGGGACATAGGTGTTTAATCTGTCACTTTCATTTACGGCTGACGTAAATTGTGATTGAAAACCTAGAGACGAGAGACGTTCCACGTCAAAAATTTTACATCCAGAACACAAAATTACATCGCAAACCTAATGCATGAGTCTGTAGAAAATTCTTGGCGAAACGAATCGTCCGTGGGCAAAAGTTTCTTAGAAAATCGCAAGGAGCGTCTATATGTCCAGTTATTTGTATTTCATCTCATCTTTTTTGCATGTGCTTATATTGTAATAAATACCTAAAGCCTCCTTCTTCATGGTGAACGTAAGTCTGCCACTGTCGGCATTAGTGACATGTGGGTGGAGTGGTTGCGCGGTCGGTGCGGCCGGAGGCAGCGGCGGCGGCCGGCGCTCCGCCCGCTCGTCGCGCTCCCTCTCGCGCGCCACCGTGTCGCCGCCGCCGCCGCCCCCGCCCCCGCCCCCTCGCCCAACACCACAGCACGTACAGGTGCATTCGGTGCACTGTCGCGCGCGACACCTCCACTCCTGACACCAAAACACGCTTATCAGTACCTATATGTTTGAAGAGGAGCGTGTAGACGGACACCAAGCTCGATAGCATACAAAACGAACGCTAATGCAAGATTAACGCCACGCCGACATACACAGACCACCAGTGTATGTCGGCTTAAAACCTAGTGATCCGGAGGTTGTTGCCTCCGGAGTTGAAGCCGTGGTAATGGGGTACGCCCCCGAGGCCCCCACCTCGCCCACCCACACCATCTGGCGGGCAAAAGAGAAGACCAGATTGATTGATTGATGCTAGATTACAAGTACCTATTTGGATATATTATTTTAATTTCATTGACTATATGTAATGGACACATGGAACTTTTACATCAAGGATTCCCAGTGTGCTCCATAACGATTGGTGAGGACGCTTACACCAGTGTTTGCCATGGCCCCAACTAAATTAGGGTGGATAGGTTCACGGGTCTGGTGGGTGCTTAACTGCGCAGACAGGCCTTGTGCCACCGTCGACAAACACGAACCCCCAGCTGTCCACGGTTCACGAAACACGGTTCCATTGCTGGGGAGCTCCGGTGCTCGGCGAGAAACAGTTCATTCTGTAGAGCACGCCGCTAGATACTTGTTGACAGATTGATGACATAACATAGACTACAAGGACCTTTGGGCACCTGCCGCACTCAAAGCGTAGTAGGGGGTACTTCCATGCACGGCCTACTACGCTACGACCCCATGCAAAAATAATCCCCAAAACTAACAGGCTCGCACTGAAAGTGACCAGAGCGAAATTTGCACCGAGGAAAGATAGCGAATTCGAGTCTGATTCTAATGACGAAGGAGCCTCCTCCAGCAGAGAGAGGAAAATAATGACTCGCTCGAAAATGGACATTAAGGACCCGCCGATGAGAAGCAATCAGGCGGAGGAAGTCATAAGCAGAACACGCACTGCGGTACAGGACAGAGCTGTGACGGTCCTCGAAATGATCAAGATGTCCGGGAATCGGAAGGGGAGCGAATAGAGGAATACCCAGCATTTAGCGCAGAGCGCCTCGCCCTCATCATGGAATTGGAGATAACCTCTCGCTGCCGAATATAGTTCGGGGGATAGTTAGTAGCGAGAGGTCGTGCAATGCGGTATTCACCTTCTGTGATGTTGCAGAAGGAAGCAACCGAGCAAGAGCGGGAGAGTGCCTCCACCGCTCCCGTCATGCTGCTGTGGTGCTATTTTGAGAGAGGCATACTCCATATATAGCCCTAGGAGGTGTGTGTACGTATCCGTACTCTCTTAAGATGGCAGGGTGGGAGGTCCATTTCCCATCCTAACTAAGAGAAGAGGCTTGCCCTACACCACCTACAGGACGGACCGTCGCATTGGATACCCGGTAGTATTCAAACGGGAACCCGGGATCCAACATATGCATTTCGAGGTACGTCATGTGTTTTTCAATGGGTTAGAATCCTACACACCTCATCTATCTTCCCTCTGGCAGCTGAGACGGTCTTGTTGAAGAATTTCCACACATTAAAAAAAACGTGTATCAACTTTGTTGGTGTTTTACTTTTAAAAACTCAACATGTCGATAAGCGTGCACAAGTTTATTTTTGTTTTTTAAGAAATTTGGCAGTAGGGGTTTGAGGTATCAGTGCATTTTGGAAAAGGGGTCTATTATCTGAAATAGTCTATGACTTACATGGTGCAAAAGGGGGCATAATAAATACCTGCATATTGCTATAATATTGAGGATCATATAAGTTTTTTATTAAACCTATTACTATAGCTTCATTGACGATTTTTAATGCCACACACAGTCTCTTGAGCGTTTGAATGATTATATTATTATACATCTGTACTCGACATCTAAGGTTGTTGTGAAGAGTTCACTGGCAGGCATATAGCGTTGCTAATATATGCACCTGGTGGCTGGAGAGGGTGCAGCCCGAGGTGGCGATCAAGTTGTGAGTCCGCAGCGGTTGTCGGTGCGGCGGCTGGCGACGTGGCGGTGAGGGCGGCGAGGGCGGCTCGCGCTCCGACGGGAACCTGAGCCGCATCTCGACGTCGGCAGGCAGCGCGGCGCGGCACGAGCCTGCCACCGTCACCGACCATCCGCCTTCGGATACAAAGCCATCGCTATCTATTTACACACCCTAGTGCAAATATGAGATTCCCATCATAGAAAATATATTTTTATATTTTGCATATATTTTAATTGCCATGCAAATACATAGTAAAACATAGGATAAGTATTGTTAGTGCCACTTAAAGCTTTTAGGTGTATGTGTGGCATTTTATGATGGTACTTATAATATATTTTGCTATGTAAAAAAACTGGACAAAAATATGTTCTTGAACTGATTTGAAATGAGAAGCAGGATGATTATTCATATAATAGACATGAACAACAACAGCCTTCGTTTCATATGTTGCCATTTGGGGAATGTTATTTGCTAACTTAAATCCGAAAATAGGCAAATGTTTTATTTTCTTACAAGGTTATTTATACATTCCTATACAATCATTAATTGAATCACGTATTGAGACGTTTTTGACACACTAACTAACTTCACCCAACTATTTTCGTCAGAAATCTCAGTTTCAGATGTTTTAATTAATATTTGTAAAATCAAAATTAACTATATACTTCTGCAACCATTAAACAATCAATATGCAGAATCAGCTTTCGAGTTTGAAAATTATTATCTAGCAGTTGTGTTTGCATGGCTGTGTTTCGGTTTGAAGGGTGGGATATGGCGTGAATTTACTGGGTACAGAGGAATAACACCTGAGTCCTCAGGAATGGCAACGCATGGGGGATATCATGGGCGAAACAGTATACTCTGTTACGTCCATGGTACTGCTCATGTCTATAGGCGACGGTTACCACTTTCCATCAGGTGGGCCGTCAGCTTGTTTGCTATTCTAAGTTTTATAAAAAAAAAAAAAAAGATATTGAAGATTGTTTCACCGAGTGTTGTTGGATTTTTCTTATTCAGTTTCGATAAACTATTCTATGTAGGCGACGGCAGATAATAGGTAGCCTCAATCTATGGTTACGATCCAGTACAATTGTTTATACATACATATGTATAAACAATTAAGTGAAAAGGAATATTTTGACTTACTATGTAATATCTAGTCACAATATACCTTTGCAGAAATATTTATTTAATTTATCAGTGGCTATTAATTATAGTGGTCGTACTTTAACTTATGCTGGAGCAGTATGCAAAGCCACCGGCGACATGCCGCACAGCAATATGAGAGCGACGTTTTGTTTGCACTGCCTCTCATGGGCAACGTGGCATACACCGCAGGTAGAAGGGGATACTGGCATCATACTAATGTTTGCAGTGGAACTAGGAAGGGGATCTTTATTCTACATGAGTGCTTGTCTACCGGTCTACTCGTGTTCCAGTTTACCTGTGGCGTCGACGTCTACAGAAGGCTGCGGTGAGCCGGCATCAGAGTCGCGGCGACGCGCGGCTCGCTTGTGGCGTGCATGTGTTGACAGCCACTTGGGCGCCAGCGAGCAAAGCAGACTACCGCCTGACTCGCTGCTATCGCTCGAGCTCGCTGTACCGCTTTGCTTGAATTCAGGCAATTTAACCGATTTCGTCCTCACCGTTTCCTCCTCACTCCGCTCCATCGATATAGTGCGAATTTTTCGCTTATCTGTCTTTCGAAAAGTAATATTTCCGTCTCGTACCCCATTCGTGTCTCGATTAGCATTGCCATCGACTGGTTCGACTCTGTTACGTTCACGAGATTCAGATTTCGCTCTCGCAGCCTTCTTATCCATTTTGGTCCTTGAAGGTTTCATATCTATATGTTTTTGATGTGATTTAGACTTATCCCGATATTTATCTCCGCCTACTATTATCGGATCAAACGTTTCCGTTTGAATGGTTCGAACGGTACGGTGTGTATCTAATTCCCGATCATATTGCGTTGTTACTGATCTGCAGTCTTTATTTTTTTCCATTACAACGTTCTTCTCTTTCAAACCTTTGCATAAATAAAAAACAAGTAATGTAATTTAAAAAATTTAATTTATAAATCAAAATCACAAATGTAATAACTGTAATTAAATAAACGAACATCGTGCTAATATTTATAACAGTGCCGTAATTTGTTTATAATACTCGTATAATATGTACTTGCTACAAATAATAAATATGTTTTCAAATGTTTCAAAATAAATATCTGTGGGATGACAGCGACAGCAGTGTCACGCTGAAACTACTCTACGGAAACGGAGGAAGCCGTGCAGAGGGATAACAATGGCGGTGCACAAGCGAGCGCGATACCTTCCTCGTGCAGCTTAGCTTCGGGCTGCGTGAAGCCGAGCCAGGCGCGGCTCCGGGACGCGAGCCCGCGCTTGCCGCTCGCCGCGACCCCGCTCCCGCCATTCACCGTGTCACTCGCCGCTGCCGCCCTATCACCGGTACTGCTCTGCGAATTATATTTTGTCGTGTCTGTCGTTGCGCCACTCACCGTACTACTGGTCATGGTAGACGTGGTTTCAGAATGTGTTGACATTTGAATAGGGCTAGTGGCAGCTGATCTTTGACTAGGTGATGTCATTGTGGTTTGGCTTCTTTTCATGTTTCTTTCATCTATGCTATTTGTTAATGGAGAAGTTCCAGTACATTTTGTTTCTCTTGATGTTTTCAATGAATTTTGAGAATCTTTATATTTCATTGTATCTGTAAATCTACATGTTTCCTTACTACCAGTAACCCGATCATTACTTTTTTTATTATAAGATGGTCGTAATTCGTCGATTAGATTTGGTGCGGATGCTCTGCGACTATAATGTATATCTTCGTTAGAGGAATCGATACTTAGGCTGCTTCTCTCTTCTGGTATAATGTCAAAAACCTGTTTAAATTTCAGTGAGTTAGATCGCGACCTTGGCTCACAGTGCGGCACCGATGCTCTTCTGGCTGGAATTTCCGATGAATTTAATCTATTGTTATCATGTATCACATTATCGCTTCCATTTTCATTATCTGCGAGCACTTCCAGTAGCATATTGGTAATGAGCCGATTAGATTTAGTATTGCTCTCTCGCGGAGTTGTCATGGCTGCTGTTTGCCTACAGACATTACTTTTGAAATTTTTGTGACAGTTATTAGCTGTTTTCTGAATTCGTTCGTAAATTGGAACCGGTATTCGAGACTTTTTATTTTTACTAATATTACCCTGGCTATCATCGGAATTAGTAATATCTGGAGAACTTTGGGACTCGTTTACATATTCTAATATTTCTAAAATTTCGATACATTTATTACCATCCTGTATTTCAGATTTTTGATAAAATCTTCTTGGACCACGTTCATCTGAAGTTATAGGGGGATGTGTTAGCAATGATAATTTACCGTGAATTTGTTTTTCTGGCTTGTTATCAGCATTATTTATATTGTTTTTTAAACATTTACCAGAGTTCCTACAATTATAATATTCCAGATCCTTTTTCCAATTTCTTTTAGAAACATTTTCATCAGATTTGGATAATGACATTTTATTACACTTCTGCTTTATACGCATATACTTGTGCTCATCTCGAGCTATTTTCGCTATAACATCGTCAATGAGAGCATTAATAATAGCCATACAATCCTTTTCGAGTTCCTTTTTTGATTTACGCAAGTCACTATGACGTTGCTTCTCTAGATCTTTTTTTAATTGTTTTACTTTGCTTCGTCGTGCACATTCCAAACGCATTTCTCTTTTTTTATGTCGTCGATAAAGTCTTTGTTTTATTTTTTCTGGCATATGATCAGCTACAACCATGTTTTCTTTTTCGCAGTCGAAGTTGTTATCCTTTATCCTAATAAAAAAAGATTCACCTTTTTCTTTAGCTTGATTCAAATTACCATGATTCGTGTAAGAATTTTCAGGTAATAAATCCAAAACATCTATTGCTGATCGCGCTAACTCGTTTCTCCTGTTAGTATTAAATGATCTACGCAAGAGTATCGATCTAGGAGAATTTGGATCATCTAAACTATCTACGAGACTTGTACAATCTGAACCTATGTTGTCTGCGTCATCTGAAGATGAGGTATTTACTTCCATAGAATCAGTGTGAGGAAGTGCTGAAAATCGAGGTACTATATTGTCGTTTGAATCCTGAAAATAATTTCCAGCACCTACATTACTGATTAATTCAGTATCTTTTATGTCTTTTTGAATGTGTGCATTAGTATTATCAGTGGCTTCCAAGATTTCATCTGCATTATTATCTACATATACATCAACATTTGAAATTTCAATATGAGATATTTCCGGTATAGTGTTTTGAGAGTAATTTTCATTGAGACTACAGAGTTCATCTTGAAAGAGTTTCTGTATCTGTTGCAGAACGGCTTTATTGACGTTATCGTGCTGAATTACACTGTTATAATTGGACTCTGAAAATAAATCCTGATGAGCGGACGTACTTTGTTCATGTAAAGATTCGCCAGATGTAAGATTATTATTGGATTCCATACTTTGAATTTCTTCATGAAATGAAATTCTATCTCTCACACCTTGAGGATTATTACAATTATCTTTATTTTCATCATTATTGTATAATTCCTCGTTCCCAAATATGATTTGATTATTGGACATTGGACTTAGGTGAACAATTGTATTTACACCTGTATTTTGTAATTTTACTTTTATTTCTTTTTCCACTATGCTCACTTTACGGTCACGACCAATCGATGCATTCATACATTCAATTTGATCCGTTAAGGAATTTAGACTTTCCACTAAAATATTTGAAACATACTCATCAATGTTAATGTTTTGTGTATTTCTGTTATTTGGTGTAGGTACTTTTGATGTCGGAGTAAGTATGGTTTCTGGTGAACAGTGTTTAATAGCAGGCACTGAATTCGAATTCAATGTTTCAGATACCACAATTTCTAGAAGATCATACGCTGGAGTTTCTACTGCCAGTGGAGTATCATATGACAAAATATTATTTTCGTTATTTTCAAGGTTCATTGATCTTTCACTGATTCGACCTTCTATATGAGCGCTACTATTAGATATTTGTTTGCAAAATTTCTCCCCTGCAAAGTCATTAATTTCTTTAGTGGTTGGCATTGACATCGATAAAGATTCCGAGGTATCAGTCTGGCTTTCATTTTCATAATGTATATCTTTATGTGTGTTTGAGTCTATTTCTGCAGTAGTCGGATCCGATAATACTGTTTCAGAATCTCGTGTTGTATCATATTTTTCAATGTCATCTTCAAATTTGCGAGCACTATTATCAATAAATGCTTCTGTTGTCCTTGTATGAGATGATGTATCAGGACAGTAAGATCTACAGGTAAAACCAGATTGATCTGTTTTAACTACCATATCAAAGCGAGACTCCTCGGCTCTGTCATAACTATTCTTCATCGCCGCCCTGAGCATCTCGTCACTTCCACGAAAGTCTCGTGGTGAATCACGGCGCAATCGCTTTGGGGTTGCCCAGCCAACAGCAGCGGTGGCTGCGTGTGATTGTCGAGAAGATGTAAAACTACTAGATAAATGTCGTAACTCAGAACGCGAGCCATCCAGAGATCTGGTCTCGCGTCCGCAATACGTTTGCGAGTCGCACAGATCGCCACTACAGCAGCAACACGCTTGACAAGGGTTGCATGAGCGGCCCCACATCCGTCGGAGCAGGGCCGACTTGCGCATGAGCTCGCGGTCGCGTCGCATAAACCGGTGCGGCGTGTCGCAGAGTGAGCTACACGAGCCTCGCGGCGGCGAAGCAGACGCTGGCGAAGGACTCGTCGTGTGCCCACTCTCCTCTGAATCTGATTTTTGCTGAGCCAGCCGATATCTGAAATGTTTTCAAACGTGGGTATATTTAATAGCTCATGTAGAGATATATAAGTATTTTTATGGATGCACTGGAATGGTAATCCCAGTAAATGTTAATGTAAATGATAAGGCCGCCTTTTGTATATGCACATTATCTGACATAATAAAGTAATCGTCACTTAATCGGGTCTTAAATCAAACTAAATCAATTCGATAAAAATAAAATGAAAATAGTTTTTGGCTGCGCTAGCGTTATAAATGAAGACAAAATTGGTCCATTAACTTATCATTCACTAAAAAATAATCAGAATGGTTTTTAGGACAGACTGCATGAAGGTCTTCCTGACAAGGTATGTTGCTAGCAATCCCTTCCTTCCGGTAACGTACAAGTGTAACGTGTAATGTGTCTTACTTTCTCATGATAGTCTCCGGCACGGAGTAACGGCGCCGCATGAGGCCGGGCGAGGCGCCGGGCTGCGGCGGCAGCTCCGCCAGCTGGGCGCGGGTGAGCATCTTGTTTACAGTTCTCCTGCTGCGGCCGGTACTGGCGTGTGGCTTGATCCTTTCACCGGTATCGGACGTGTGGTTCACAGTGCGACTGTAAATTAAAACAAATAATTATAAATAATAAAATTTATGTTCCATAAAAAAAGAAATCAAAGATTTTAAATGGATTCAATTTTAGTTCATAATATGAAGTAACGAAATGTAATAACGAGCTAATTAAAAATATTAGACCATGTACGATGTATCTGTAGCAGAAAGCATCAGTCGAGTTGTCTTGAAACTTGCTTCATCTACACTAAGTAAAAAATCTTTACGTGAGCATAGACCTTTAGCACATAGTTCTCTCTGTCTACTCTGAACCTGAGCTAAAGACATAAAGGTATACATATAAAGTAATAATAAACACTGGAGTCTGTAACGCAATTAAACCACCGCTTACAATTTCTTCTTGCGATGCATTTCACCTACTTTTTCATACTGACTGATTATTATTTAGCACGATTGTTTAATGAAGTGAGATGTACATACATATGTATGGTATGTAAATATCATAAATATGTGATAGAGTAGTCAATACGTATGGTAGCAATTAACAGAGCGAATCATAGAAAGTAGCTATGCAAAGCTGATGGAGCGCAAGCAGTCAGCAGTCGGCTGCCGTAGGCTGCTCGTACATTACATTACACATTACTTTGTTAAAACTATATATAAGTATGTACATTTTAATCAAAAACTGAGAGTAAAAAATCAAAATCAAATTATATTTATTCGCTTGCTACATGGTACAATAAGAAGTTACATATACAAGTAGGTACATAACATGCAGCACCCCGCAGTCGTATGCTAATGTTAAACTGTATTTAGTCTACATTATATTGCAATTATTGTATAAAGTCCAATCATTTTCCAAATTACAATATTATTTATGTCAAATTATCACATAAAATTATGGTTTATATTTTAAGTAATTTTTAATACATTTCCTATTCTTATGGTTACAAGTCATAAAAAATAGGAAAGATGACGAGGTACGATGTTATACAATTAACTAAATTGTTTTATTAAATTGTTAAATCAAACTATGACCCTATGTACGAGTATTTCAGTCTAATCTCCTGCTGAGCAGTAAGTGTAGTTCGCTATTAAATATAATTTTGTGCCTCTAGTGAGACAAGTACAAATCAAAATCGCAGCATTTCAAGGGAGCAGAAAAACAACGAGTTATATCGTTTTTAAAAATTCTTATGATTTTCTTACATGATAATTGAAAACGCTAATAATCATTTTCGTAGTATTTTTTGCCCTCTTTCATATGGAATAGTATAGTTTTAGAAATAATTGAAATGTACCCGATTAAACACTGTGTATTGCAGCTATCATGCGAAAATATGCATGCATTTTAAAAAGAAGCCGTTGGGTGCTAAAGGGTCTGTTTGCTACATCTGTTTTTAAGCCTAGCCGCAACTGTAAAAGATTCTGACATGATTTATATTCAAATTTTATGTACGTCTCTTTCCTTCTGTCTACGTAGGTAATGCTACGTACTTATGCTCTTCATAATTCCTATATCGTGTCCGGCATCGCTATGGATTATACAAAGATTATACTCTCTATCACCCATCCGTTCCATCCTAGTTGAAGTAATAAATTATCCTAGTAAAATAATAAATTCAATTCTGCCATGGTTGATATGTATTACTAATAAGTAATATTTAGTAAGGCACGGAGACGTGCGCGCCTCCGCGAGAATTTTATTGTCTTATCTAGAGCACAGATAATGTAATACTAGGGGATCTAAAAGGAATACTCAAAATTTCAAAATAGACTTAATAGTGCAAGTAGGCGATAGCCCGTATGATAATATGGAGGGGATTTATTTGTACATTTTAAAACTAAATTTTATTTATTTTTATGTTGTATATAGTTTTTGACTTAAGATAAAAAATATGAAAAAAACCATCACCTTGCACCATCTATCTCCGAAGTTTGTGAAGCGAAAAATCTAAATTAATTACAGTATAATGTATACGTTAATATTACAGGAAAAATATAACATTATTTCTAATTACCAGTCATTGAGAATTAAACCCTCCAAAAAGTTAATTTTACAGGCGGGTTTCTAGCCACAGTTACAGCTTAAATATGGAATTCCTAATTGTATTTCTATAATTACGTGTCTATTTCATATAAAAACACAATAACAGGTCATTCTTATCATATGTGTTTAAAATTTCAATAGATTTTTATCGCTATATTTAGCCAATGGACAGGATTGTCAAAATTTACATTGCTCTTACAAGGAAATGTAAGTATGCTAGCACTATGACTAGTATGATTTTTGTATGTTATGGTAATTGCGTACTATGAACACGTGCCTCTTGTAACGAATAAGTGGTTCTATTTCTCTGGCTTGGTCTTAGTGTTTCGGTTTATTATTGAAGCAACAGCGAGTGTACATTTAAATATTTTTTTATCTAAAGAAAACCCAAACCTTTTTACAGACAAATTTATGAATGCAACCCTCGGCGAGGAAGGTTAAATCACACTTGACCGGTTTATTTTTTATTTTAATGTGAAACATTGTATACTCATATACATGCTATTTGAGAATCTTCATTATTCTAATGTTAATAAATTGACGTTTGCATGTATTAAGTTTAAAAACTAACCATTATTACTTATCTATAGACCGAAACTGGTTAATCTATACGGTTAATCTAATTTAACACGGGCGTGCTACACTGCCTGCACCACAACTATTATTATTATTATTTGTTTGTTACTTTCAAACCGACTCTTCAAATGATATTCTGAACGTCCATTTAATCGATATCAGTGTATTTAGAAAAATTGTTTTTCCCTATATTACCAAAACAACACAGCACCAATTCTGGTTTCTGAGGGTAGAAATTTTTAAGCGTTCCTTTATAACTGTGGCTCTATTTCAGATTGTCAATAGTGTATGGCCATCACTTACGGTTCAAGTCGGACAGCTGGTAGATTGCGCCACTAGTAATAATTAATTGGCACCCGTTTTATTATTCGCCCTCAAGTTCATTTTCTCTGTAGGAGTTCTCAACAGAGTTTAACGACCTAAGCTGTAGGTATCTCTTTAAGGAATGTGATTGAAATTTCGAACTATGCGCTGAACGCAAATTGAATATCAAAATAAATTTTGAAAACGCCCGCTTGTAATGAATTTGATATTGCAGTTGTTCTTAAGCAACTAACCATCAATAATAAGGCGGAGCGTAAGGTTGTTTTCAACTTTGGTGGATAAAAAAAAGTTAAACAAAAATAAAACTGACAAGCAAAATTCCAATAAATGTGGTCGCGGTGTAAAGTAAGCTTAGAGCACCTCGGAAGGATTAGGGCACGACACTCGCACAAATAACTAAATCTAAAATAGTATTTGTCTGCATGATCCGAGAATAGAACAGCGGTGGGCCCTTGTGAGTGCGTGGTGACCGGTGACTTGCGACAACGGCGGGCGCAGGCGACGCAACCGCATGCCGCATGCCCCATCTCGTATTCATGTATTCACGCGAACGTAAAAATATGCAGAGAGAGCGCACTACCGCCGCGGCGCCGAGCGGAGTCGGTGCAGAGAGTGCGGTGAGCTGGCGCGACTACTAACTTCCCAGGTTCGTCGACTTAATGACACTATGACTAATAAAACATTGAACAGAAACGGTGTCGGCCTGACTTGCCATCTATAACTTAGAACACGCTTCACTACGCTACTTCCAACTAGGAACGCAATAATGCACACATTCTTGCGTCGAAGCTCAAAATCTAGAGCTACTCTAGTGATTTCTGTTATGTTTGTAATTAGCGTGAGAGCATTGCGTGATGGAACCGTTGTCTAGTGTCGTGAGTCGAGTGGACCGGTGCCTGTTGAAGTGTAAACGAGCAATCGGCCGGCCGCGATCCAGCCGCTGCCTGCTATGCTGTACTGTACTGTACAGTGCAACAACGGACTATTTACAAACTGCGTTCAGAATGCGAGATATGTGCGCATCGCTCGACTCTATGAAATAACACGAGCTCGAAAGCCCGCAGATGGAAATCAAGACGAGTGTGACTCACGTCCAGTGGCGCACGGACATGTTGAATATGGACATATACAAACCGCTACAGTTAATCATCTAGTCATCCAGTGCCACATTTAGACTTTATTTACATAATGTAGGCAGCTCAGATATAGATATAATTATCCTTTGTTTGGAGGGTAATGATAATAGGTACATACATACAAACAACTGCCCTAAACAGTATTACATAGATTTATTCGTCTAGTATCTCAGTTTATAATAGGTTTGAAAGAAATCTTATTTTTATAAAAACTCAAATCATCGCTGAGATACCCTAACTTCCCTACTGCTACAGGGATGCTCCCTGGTGGTAGGATCTTTTTTAAATGTGGCCGTATCCTCGGTGGCGTAAAAAGTGAATTTAGATATGTACATCTCATTAGTTACTTAGTCAAATTTTATAATTATGTAATAAATTATAATCAGATTTTATTTTGATATAGGTAATCATGGACGTTGGTGAAGTTTATGCAAAAGAGATTGCAGTTTTTTCTTGTTAATAATAAAGTTTCTAATGGTCGGTTCTTATGTGATATAAGTATGTACACAATATCAATATGACTACGTTATTTAAATTGATAATATTGAAAATGAGCATTGAAGCACTCCGAAGAATTAATCTTACCTTCCAATGGTGCGAAGTCGAGCGATAAATCCATATTAGCCGTCGATACGCTTCGTGGCGGTAATCTCGTTCGGCGAAGACATAGCAATTATGCCAATAACACGGTTGTTACATTACAGCAGTGAATATGTTCGATTTGATTGTACAGTGATCGGATGTCGGCTCGAGACGAGCCGGGAGCGCGTACGTCAGGGAGGGACGCTCGCCCGCCGCCAACTGTGTCCGTGTCCCGTGTTGTGGTGTCGTAGTGTTGCAGGCGCTGCCTGTTAGCTGTTCAGGCCGGTGCGGTGCCGGTGTTGGCGCCCCACGGCATGGTGACACGCTTCACTCGTTATAAACTTGTGTTACTTTGTTTACGTTTCAGTTGAAAATTAGTCAGTGAGTGTATCACTTACTCATTCTCTTAGGTAGTTAAGCGACAATATAGACACACACTCGTATATAAGTCAACACAGATGTTGTTGAAAACTAACAGTAATTTCTTAGTATATAATTAAAGTACAATACTATTCATACCTATCATATTGTAAGAAGTGATTAAAGGTGTAAATTACAATAGACCAGCGCTACAGAAGAAAACTTCGATACAAATCCAATACTTAAGTACATAGCATCCCAACTGGCTAACAGCAATATAGTACTGTATTCGTTTTATGGGGAGTAAGTACACTGGGTACCGAAGAGAGCGTGACAAACAGTTCCTAAAGGTGAGTTGCTAGACAATGACATTATCTTCGCTTTTTCCGCTACATTGTGTTTATCAGTAAAATAACATTGATCAAAATAATGATATGTAACATAAATATAATAAATACATGCGAACAAGGAATGAATTCCTTCTTGGATTTGTTTAATTCGCTTGGTCACATTCCTTTACATTACACTCTAAGTCATAAGATACTGCTCATGTCTATAGGCGACGGTTACCACTTTACATCAGGTGGGCCGTCAGCTTGTTTGACATTCTAAGTTGTATAAAAAAAAAAAAAAATGTTCATTGAACTCCCAATACCGATCATAATAATTGAAATAATATGAACTGTAGTTTGTTGCATTATATCATAAATATGGAACATAACACGTAGGTGTAGAAAGTATTTTGCGCGTCTCTCATTAATGTTTTGTAGGACGTAAGGAAGTCCTTCGCCCGACCCGGAATTGGAGCCCAATATCTTTTGCGTAATTTATTAAGAGATATGCCTAACTGCCTATTCGCACTTGTTTTATTGTAAGGGATATCAAGTATTTATGTATGTTATTGTATGTTAACCTAATCGTTATATGTAAGCTACTCTACGCAGTCGTAATTTATATTTCATACCTAGCGAGATATTTAGCGCTTGTAAATTTAGTTTATATCATTCATAAATATATAGATGATAAGTATTTCGCTTATTTTATCCCCTTTGGTAGATAATTTCTTGAACTTACGCTAGCTTCTGCGTTAACTCTCACCTATTGGCTTGTCTAAACGTATTTGTACAGTTCATCAAAACTGGATGTGGTGGTTTTACTTTAATGCTAGGATGGAAAGGAAGCAGACAAATATTAAAAAAAAAAACTTGGGTCACGTATGTAGCAAAATAAAATATATATAATTAGCGATCCGTCCTGGCTTCGCATGAGTATTAACAGCATATATTTCTATATTTTTTGGATCTGTTTGTTGTACCGAGTATGAATTAGATTTGCCAAGTATAAATTAAGTAGCGTTTCCGATCAAAGCTCCCAAACAGTTTGATTTTTCTAACGTCTTCAATAATCATCGTCATCAAACTTTAACGAATTATACACCTAAACCTTACTCAGGAATCATTCTATGAAAATGATAAAACATAACCGCATAAAAATCCGTTCAATAGTTTTTGAGGATATCGCGACCATAAAAACAGACAGACGCGGGGGACTTTGTATTAAAATAAGTTTTCTCATATGTAGAGAATGCTAAAATATTTATAGAATAGTCTATTCTTAGAAAGAACTATGATTTCTTTACGATTCTACATGAGATATATAATTATTATAATAATGAAAAGAAGAAGTAATTAATTTAACGAAATGTAATACGAGTATACGGCTCTTTTCTCCAGTGGCATAATAAGTAAACTTCCTACTTATATGTTATGTTTATAGCGATAAAGCGGCGCGCAGCGAGCCGCCAACGAGCCTACGGGACGGACCTTTTCCGTCGGGGAGATGAGACGACCTCGGACATTATGTCCTCAGTTATGGAAGGGGGGGCGCGTCGCTGCTCTGCTAGGTATAAACATCTCTATGTTTCTTGTAAACGAACTGATAGAAATGACTCCAAAAGCGATCACTACAAACTATTTTTGTTAAACGCACTTTGATATTTGTAAAAATTATCCAAGAAAAGCCTTGGACTACTTGTCCATTATCATACTAATATAAAAAAAACTGAAACTGGACGACGTCAGTACATCATCATCATCTTCCTACCCTTATCGCAATTATTATTCGGGGTCGGCGTAATATGGTTTTATCCATATTACTAAAGGATTTGGCTTATAGTTTTATGACCGGCCGCCTGCCTGACGTCAACCCTTTTTGGGAATGCATTTGTTGGTAGTTTCCGCAATTGGAAGATATTAAAAAAAAATTATAGGAGCAAGAGAAGTCAAAAAAATTTTTTTTTATTTTGTCTGTTTGTTTGTTTGCATGTTCCGGCATCATGCAAAAACTACTGCACCTGCATAAATTGAATATGATTTGCACTGTTGTATTCTTGAAAGTCTAACTTAAAAACCGATACTCATATTTTGACAAACCATCTAGAAGCAGTATATTTCATTGGTTTTCCAACTTCCAAGTGCCACACAATGACCGCAACCATTTAGTTATCAACTTAGGATTAATAATCCAGATTGGAATCAATTTAGACAAGTTATTTTCCTAAATGGGTCCAATCGAGATTCAAACCCGTATCAATTATGCAAAGTATTGATTTTAATTTCCGCGGCTGAAAGGGGTATACCATATTACATTGGTGTAAAGCAAGTCTGTCATAATAGAAACCTCAAGTGGCGCAAATATATTTTCCAAACACGGTAACAGTGCCCTTCCTGATTTTGGTCTACCTGCAATGAAAATATTTTCTGACGGAGCCGAATGATATAACTTGAATAACAAGTGGAATGGTGTTAAAATAGTACAATTTCCTTAGTTCGAATATTTTATTGTTGAGTAACTATAAAACGAAAGGATCACTTTCTATCTTTAGGGACAATTTCCATAGGAACGTGTTTTATTGTACGTACGAAATTTGGGTCCAAAACTTCAGAATTAAGTTTCATAGTATATCCCCAGAGTACTTCTGACCGGTGTAATGCAAAACTGAACAGGTACTGTCGTCAAAATAGAATAATAAATAAATTTTCGGTACTAAATTATTCATCGTCTCTAACCAGAAATACATATATACTACTTTGACGTCGAACTCGAGTAAACTTTTTATATAAGTATTGATATCCAATCTCGCGATGACTTACCCGTTCGGTATTTAGGTTGTCTCATTAGGCGAGCCGTAATATATGTGGTTACTGGTAGATGGGTTACAAAAATACATTTATATATGATTTGGTACGTAAAAATAAATCGACCGGGAATACTATTTTGTTGAGTGTATATGCACGTCGAGTGTTGATCCAGTACGCTCGCCTCGTACACACGCAATGCAATACTCCACGGAAGCCGCGTATGGCAGACGCACATGTTGCGAGATAGAATAAAGAAGTTCATTGAGATCTCGCCGGGATCACGTCGTCTACATCTGCGCATAATGAACATCGGGCTTCCGCAGTTGCTTTTGATATTAGACGCTTGTAGCGAAGACAACATCTGGCGATTCGAATATAATATTATTGCAAAACGAAAATATATTTATATATAAGTATGTGTAGCTACTTGTATGATATTATATTATATCATCTGTACTGTGCGTAACATTCTTCCTTTGGTTTTTTTGTATTTTATTGACGATCTTAAATTTTGCAGGGAGCTAATGAATCCAGCGGTTGATGAAAGGATTACATAAATTCGTGGGGAAGTTAGTTATGTGAACAAACAGAGAACAGAACACTCACAAGCAGCGGTGCAGCAGCGAGCGCGGCTCGGGCCACGCTTCCCTGATGATGGCGAGCGCGTCGATCAGTGCCGGCGAACACTCGCCGCCGCCACCTGCACGCCACCAAGCACTCAGTCAGTATCGTCGTCGAGTACCTACCGCCGCATCACTCCACCGTTAGCACTCACAGTGCACTTGCAGTACTTGGATATTCATCTAAATATCAGAACACTATCGATTACCATCAAATTTCTCATGGCATATATACCTACATATATAAGCTTTGTTTATACACCACAAATTACAACAATCCGTTGAATATTACCTATTAAATACACAGCAAATGACAATACAGTGGAAACAAAAAAAAAGATAGTGATCGGAGAGACGTAAAAAGGAAAGTAAAATGACTGGATCAAAAGATACTGGGATATTGTACAAATTTTATGAGCTACTATTACAACTGGTAAAAAGAACGGGATCCGATAGGGTTGCTTACAGCGGATTCCATAGGGATATATAATGTATGTCTATATACGTATTACAAGATTTAGAGTTGCCACTACTGTTGCTAATGAAACAAAAGAAGGGATAGTATCAAGAAAAATTACAGTTTTTATATCAATACTACCGTGAAGCAGTTGTGTTTGCATGGCTGTGTTTCGGTTTGAAGGGTGGGAAAAGTCGATTGCTTGGGTACCTCTGTCCCATTCGTGTTACTACCGTGAAGCAGTTGTGTTTGCATGGCTGTGTTTCGGTTTGAAAGGTGGGATATGGCGTGGATTTACTGGGTACAGAGGAATAACACCTGAGTCCTCAGGAATGGCAACGCATGGGGGATATCATGGGCGAAACAGTACGAGTATACTTTGTTATGTCCACGGTACTGCTCATGTTTATAGGCGACGGTTACCACTTTCCATCAGGTGGGCCGTCAACTTGTTTGCCATTCATAGTTGTATAAAAAAAACACTGGTCAGTAGCTAAAGTTTTTAATTTTGCCGAAACGAATTAAGAACTACTGATTACATATGTATTTTCATTTTTAAAATGGGTGATAATGGAATGCTAGCCTCGCTTGTGCTAATGGTATGCGCTGGCGGGGCACCAGTGAGGGATGATAGATGTAAATGAAAAGGCAGATCAGGTACTCCATCGTGATGAATACATCTGGAATCCAGCACAATGAGTTCCAATGCGGACCACGTGGAGGTCGACCTGACCTATTGCTAGTAACAGGACTGGTAGTCCGTATTACTAACAATCCCTTCCCCCAAGTAAAAGTATTTCTCAATATCAAAAAAGGTACACTCAGAAATCTAGCGGCATTAAATGGAACGATC